GTGATCCCTCAGCTCGGGGGGATGAATAAACCATGCTGTAGGAGCAGGGGATGGCAGGTGGTGCCAGGATTCCTCCAGACTCCGCGCGGGGTTTGTTTGTCCTGGCCCTGCTGCAGGAGCAGCTGCCGAGCCTTGGCTCCTTTCCCACCCCGTTCCCAAGGAACTGGGGGATCCCTCGGGAGCTGGGTGGGTGCTGGAGCAGGCACAGCACACTAAGAAACCAGGCAGGCACCTCTGGGGGCTGAAAGCAGCTGTGTTCCCCCCATGTCGTGTCCCTGGGAGGATCCGGGCTCTGTCTGGAGCAGGGAGATGATTTACATTCCCCGTCTCTGCTGGGAACTTAATTATAAAGGCAGAATGAAACTGAAAGCGTCTCTGGAATACTTGAACCACTCATCCTTCACCACACGTTGTCCCTCTGTATTGTTTCGTGTGATTCTTTTCAGCTGAGTGATTCTTCCACTCGGGATGAAAGCAGAGATGATTACCCTGGAAAAAAAAAATCTAATTATGGTTGCTCCACTTGTAACGTTTTGCTAATGTTTTCTTTATCACTGTCAGTATCTTGCTGCTGCTCCCAGCCCAGGATCCAGCTGGGGCTGGAGCCAGGCAGAGTTGGGGTGGTTCAGGTGGAGAAGGGGAGGCTGACAGAGCCAGGGCAGGTCTTGATGGGTGTAATGGAAAGAGATCCAGCTACAACTCCAGCTACAAGTTCTGCTTTGAAGAAGAGAGAGACTGCTGCCCTAAATGTGGAAAGGATCTTTCCTTCTTCCCTTCTGGGCTTTTATTGGAGGGAGAAGAGATTTGATCCAATGTAAATACTGCTTTATCATAGGAGAGATAGTTAGGATTGTGTATATCATTTATTATAATATTTATTTGTGTAATAATTATAAATAATTCCCTTCCCCCCATATTGAGTCTTGTGCTGTGTCTGGAAAACCCCTCTCACACTGGGGTGAGTTGTGGGAGGGGGGGCTTGGACTCGGAAATTGGAAACCTCGACAATGGGAAGCTCCTTTTCTTGGATTCTGCAGTACAAGGAAATGGTAGGGGGAGACAGAGAAGAGTCAGGGTTCTGATCTCGGTGAGGAGGAGGTGAAGTGCAATATTTTCAAGTTTTAGATGAGTCTCCCATCATTTGTTTCACTGGGTGAAAGCTCAGCTTTCATCAGTGGAATCGTCGCGGGTGGGCTTTGTGCTGCTTGGGGCTCCAAGGGACGTTCAGCAGAGCAGCAGGGAGGGGCCCTGGCTGTCTGTGCTCTGTGTCCCGTGTCCCTGACCCCTGTCCCGTGTCCCTGATCCCTGCAGGAGGTGCCATTCTCCCGTGTGTGGCGTGGCAGTGCCCGGCCCCTGCTCTGTGCCTTCTCCCTGGAGCGCTACAGCCCCGGCACCACCCAGCTCAGCTGCAAGGTCTGTGTCAGGCAGCTCAAGGGCCACGAGCAGGTCCTGCACGTCCAGACCTCCATCCTCGAGGTAAGGGCTGCTCTCACCTGGCTTTGTTACCTTTTGCTCTGCCACCTCCCACTAGCCCAGGTGGCTCCCAGCCCCGTCCAGCCTGGCCTTGGAGCATCCACAGCTTCTCGGGGCAACCTGTGCCAGTTCCCTCCCCGTTTTTGTCCTTCCCCTCTCTGTGTGGTTGCTGTTCAAAGCTGTAGCCAGTCTGTAAAGCCTTACAGGTTCCATTTCCAGCAGAAACCAAAGCACAGAGGTTCTACAGCACTAAAAGCAGCTCCTGTTGGAGTTGGTGGTTGAGGTTTTCTTGCAAGGAGTTCTGGCAGAGTTTGCAGAGCCCTGGGGGTTGAACAGGGGTGCTCACAGTGTCTCCTGGGCACTGGGGCCTTGCTCACTGCTAAAAGAAATCAAACCTACAGTCAAGCAGGCTGGTGATCTGTCCTAGAGCAGTGAAACCCTTGTTGATTAATCCAGGTCAGTAGTTCTGGGTTAAAGCTCTCCACCCACTGCTGAGTTCTCTGTGCAGAGAATGCAGCAACTGCACAAGAGAACCACCAACATCATCCTGTATCAAAGATCCTCAGAATATGACCAGGTGTTTTTCTGCTTCTTTGCTGTTATTTCATAGAAATCTTCTGTTGTTCTCTGTGTGTCTCACTGCAGTGTTGCTGCTGCCTTTTTTTTCCCTCTCTCTGGATTTTTTTTTAAGGGTCCCATCCTTACACAAGTCCCCAGAGCGTGTCAGAGTTCTGCCTTCAAACAAATTTGCTGGTACAGAGGGTTTTCTCATGCCTATCTCCAGCAGTGATTGAAGAGTGAGGGTAATTTGACTGCAGAATAAATACAAACCCAACAACTGCTCCCTGGGATACAATTCCCAGAGCTGCCCAGGTCGCTGTCGCTTATCTCACATGTGCAGGGGATGGAAATCCACTCTGTTGTGCATATTTAACACAACCAGGCAGAGCTGAGGTGTCTCCAGCACCTACTGCTGTGCATGGCTGGCTCTGGGGACGTGTCAGAAATGCTCTATGAAGAGACTCCACCTCTGTCAGCTGGTGTTGATGCTGCTCAAAGGGATAAAGCACTGAAATGCGGCTCTGGCACACGGGACTAGGGTCATTCCATAGCAAAATGAGGGACAGATCTACAGAGGGCCTGGATTCCAAAGGGGTTGGGAGAACTGAGGTTCTTGGAGAATTCAGGTGGTTTTAAAAAAATTGAAAAAAAACCAAAACAACCCACAACTGAGAGATTTGTGTGTCCATATTTTAGGTTTAAGCAGTGGAAGGTTTAGAGACCCATCACTGCTCTGTTCGACTCCATCTGCAACACAGAAATACCCAAAAAAGAAAACTCCTAGAAGGGGAATATTACTATTTTAAATTATTTTATACACAAGTCCTTAAGGTGTTCTGGAACCCCAGAAGCCCCACCTCTTAGCTCTTTAATTTTCTGCTGGCAATTCTATGAGCTGCAGGGAGGAACCTCAGGCTGGGGTTTGAATCCTTGAATCCAACTTGCTTTGCTCTCCCGTGCAGAGTGAAAGAGAAACCATCACCTTCTTTGCACACGACGACAGCAACTTCCCTGCCCAGGTGGGTCCCAAGGCTTTCAAAATCCCCTTCTCCATCCGGCAGCGGATCTGTGCCACCTTCGACACCCCCAGCGCCAAGGGCAAGGACTGGCAGATGCTGGCACAGAAAAACAGCATCAACAGGTGAGAGAGGGGAGCACCGACCCGGGAAAAGGGGATAATGGGCTGGGGGAGGTTGGTTGTTTGCCGGGGTTAATTAAGGAGTCATTAAGGGACTCTCAAGTAACTGCTTTTATCTACAAACAGCTGCTGGGAACAGGAGCTTCTCCCTTTGAAGGGCAGTTCTTTGCTCTGGGCACAAGTCTTGGTGAAGTCCAAGACTTCAGTAGGAGGATTTTGGCTCTCTTGTCTACTAAGGAAAAGTTTTAAGAGGCTGCATGTTCTCTCTCAAAAAAAAAAAATTTAAAAAAAACACTCCCTTGAGCTGTTGTCCTGGCTCCTGCTGATTTGTTTTGGGTTCCAAAATGAATATTGTACATTTGTTTGGTTGGGTTTTTTTTAAGGAAAAGACAGTCTTGCTCTCCTGTTAGGGGTAATAATAATATTATGATTATTAGAACTGAAAGATGCTGTAAAAACCAATTTACTACTTACTTTGCTTCTTCTGCTTGGCTGAATTAAATCGGCAGAGGAAGTTCACTGACAGAAATAGCCATAAATATGTTCCCAGGAGAGCACAGCAATACTTAAATCAAGCAAACTGACTTTCCATTGACTTGTTGCCGTGCATGGGAATCTCCACAAGCCACATCTGAACCAAAAAAAGAAATGTTTATGGTAAACACCCTTTCTTTTACCGAATTCTTTGCGAATATCGCCCCTGCAGAGAGTCCTAAAATCTGCATATTAATAAAACACAGATTCACAAACTAAAAGACGTCGGGTCTTTACGTAATCACAAGCATCAACTGATGTTATGTAAATCCTCTGCCTGTCACATCCTTGCTAAATTTCCTAATCACAGAATCACAGAATCAGCCGGGTTGGAAGGGACCTCCGAGATCATCAAGTCCAACCCTTGATCCAACCCCGCCGTGGTTCCCAGCCCATGGCACTGATGCCACATCCAGTCTCTTCTTAAAAACCTCCAGGGATGGAGAATCCACCACTTCCCTGGGCAGCCCATTCCAATGGCTGATCACCCTCTCTGCAAAGAAATTCTTCCCAATATCCAACCTAAACCTCCCCTGGCACAGCTGAAGACCCTGAGCCCTCTTGTCTTGCTGATGGTTGCCTGGGAAAGGAGATCAACCCCCCCCTGGCTCCCCCCTCCTGTCAGGGAGTTGCAGAGAGTGAGGAGGTCTCCCCTGAGCCTCCTCTTCTCCAGGCTGAACAGCCCCAGCTCCCTCAGCCTCTCCTCACAGCACTTGTGCTCCAGTCCCTTCCCCAGCCTTGTTGCCCTCCTAATGATGCTTTCCAGGCCAGTTTCCTCATTTCCAGGGGGCTGCTGCTGCAGCATTCCTGGGCCAGTCCCCTGCTCATTGTCCCTCTGCTAAACCTGGGCAGGGGACACCTGAGGAATAAATGCCCCATGGCGTGTCCTCTGCCCACCCAGCTGCTGCTGGAGGGTTTGGGGCAGCGTTGGGCACAGGGGGCACTTCCTTCTCACTCCCCTTTTCCTCCCTCCCCGCAGGAATCTCTCGTACTTTGCCACCCAGAGCAGCCCCTCCGCCGTCATCCTGGACCTGTGGGAAGCGCGGCACCAGCAGGACGGGGACCTGGACTCTCTGGCCTGTGCCCTGGAGGAGATTGGGAGGACACACTCCCAACTGCCCGACCCCACAGACCCCGAGCTGGAGGAGCCCGACTTCAGCTACAGCCGCCAGAACGGGCTTTAGTCCCTTCCCCAGCTCCAGAACTCTGGGATCTGACACTGGAGGTTCCCTGGGCAGGGAGGGAGGAAGGAAGGGGGTTCTGCACCTCTGGGGGGAAACTCCCTTTGGCAGTGGGAGGAGCAGAAGCAGCCCTGCCAAAAAAAAATCACCTGGTGATGAGGAAAACACGACCTTCCCCCTGTCCTCCTCCCCTCCTTTAAAACTCACCTGGTAAAGTCCCAAAACAAAACCTGCACATCTGTCAATCCTGGGGCAGGAAGGGGAAAACCCAGAGCCGTGGAAGGTCAATGTTCTGACAGTGTATGTTTAGTAATACTGAGATAATGCCCAGTGAAAATCAACAAATATGATGGTGGATGTTTAGAGCCACTGGAGGTTAATCCTGGTTTAAAGGTTTGTCTCTTCAAGAGTGGTTTAAAATCCCGTTTGAGAGCATCACGTTGTCACTTTATGTCTGCTACAGGAAAACTGACAATTTGGCCTTATCCTGTTCAGATGTTTGAGGAATTAGAAGATTCTCATAATTATTCCATATCATGTGTATTCCAGACCATTTATTTAAAAATTCAATCCCTTAATGAATGTACCTTTGCTGCAGAGCTTTCCTGCCTGCTCTGTTCCCAAAATTACAGACCAAAACCCCTCTCTGTGAAATTGGGGCGTTGCACACACAAGAGGAACTTTCTAATTTTCTTGGTTTGCAAACTCTGACTTAGTCAAAAGCTGTTCCCTTGGGGGGGTGGATTTAAATAACCAAATAACACGTGGGAAATTTCCAGCCTACTTTAGCAAGTTTACACTTTTTTTTAAATTATTATTATTCCTTCATGTTCTGGGGCTAAACTAAGTGAAGGTGAAGTCAATCAGCACAGCTTAATTTTGGTTTGGTTTCAGACTGAAACAATAAACCCCACATGGCACTGCCAGAAATGGGCTTGATTCCTTTGCACAGCCTGGGAATGTCAGGGGATGTAAAGCTGGCTGGGTTACACCTGGTTTAGCCACAAATTGCATTTCCCACCCCAGTCAGAATCCAGCTGGAGAATTCGCCTTATTTTTTTTTTTACCCATTTCATACAAATCTAATTTCTTACTTCAACCAAACCAAAAAGAGCTGTCACTGTGAGCAGGGGGCCTGGTGGGACTGGTGCTGAGCCAAATTTAACCCCTATTTTCACTCCTGTCCATTACAATCAGCCAAGGTTGGGTCAGTGTGGGTGGCAGGAGCACATTCAGGAGAAAGCAGGAACAGAAAAGAGGCTTCAGGAGCTTTATGGAAACAAAAAGAACTGAAAAGGGGCATTCTGGGGCTTTTTCACCCTCGTTTTTGGCCCAGAGCTGCACAATAGGCCACAGGGTAGGTACAGAGAGCAAATCTCTTAATAATCTGAAGCTGTTCTTTACCCAGGATTCCAGGTCTGAAAAGTCTGACCAACAACTCTGGACTTGTTCCTGCTGCTCTGGAACTGCAAATGTCATTGTTGCCCTCCCAGCTCAGCAGGCTTGGAACAGTCTGAGACTTATAAATACTGAGACTTCTGCAAAGGTTTTCTGCACTTTAGGATTTCACAGGGCCTGACAGGCTGGTTGTTTTTGCAGGGGGAGCAGGTTTGGGGCTGAGACACAAACACCAGCTCACTTGGCAGCAGGCTGGCACTGCTTCTAGCAGCACATGGTTCTATCTGGGTTTGAATTACATTTCTAGTGACTGCCAGTCCTCCTCCTCCTCAGGAACCTGTTCTTCATTGGACAAAATGCTGGGAATTAGGAAAAGAAAAATAAGGAATGGCACCCAGAGCTGCTGTTGTCTGGGAAACCAGCTCCAGCCTCTCTCCAGCAGGGAATTTGTTCTCAGCTCCTCAGCTCAGAGCTCGGGAACACTGAAACAAACCCAGCAGCTCCCTGGGCTGGTGTCCTCCAAAATCCACATTCCCAGGACATCCAGTGTCTGAAAAGGAATAAATGTTTGACTCTGACAGTGCCAGAAAGGAAACTCTCCCTCCATGGCCAAGGGCAGGGTTGGCTTTGCTGCTGCCCCTCAGGTTTTGTTCCCTGTTTTTATCTTCACTTTGGCTAAAGCAGCTCCTTTGTTACTGATCTTAAACTCTGAGAGTCTGATCGACAGCTCTTGAGTTTTTCTGCCTGTTATGGATTGGTTTGATGCTTTTGTGTTGTTCCAGTGAACCTGAAATGTCCCAATATTGCACATTTCCTTTGCTCTTAAACAGACTTTCTGGAACTCTGTTTACATACATAAGATTTGATCCAAAATGCAGATGTAGAGGAGCACCTGAAGCAGGATTAGAGGCCAGAACCTAAAAATGTATTCCTTTCCTCCATTTTATAAATTATTACATTTGAAAAACAATTTTCACCAACTGGAAAGTAAGAGAAATGTAATTTTGCACACTTTAGATTCCATCTGGCTGCCCTGAGTCTGATCAGGTGAAACAGCCATTTTGATTTTACATCACCGAAGAATCTGCTCCTCTAATATATTTTCATCTTCCTAAGCACAGGTACTTCTGTGCTGTGAGTCATTTAAGACTAATAGTTGCATTCTAAAAATGACTTACAGTTGTGTCAGCACAACGTGCAGCCCCAGCTCTGCCAGCCCCAGCACCATAAAGCTCATTTTGCAGTCTGTTACAACCCTGAACTCCCACAAAAATTTTATTGGCCTTTTTGTAATAGATGAAAAGATACCAACAGAATTCTCTTAAAACACGGGGAGCTGGGTTTGTTATTATTTTTATCTCTGGCAGCAGCTGCTCTCCCCCTCTCGGGGCATCTCTGGACTGCAGCGGGTTCAGAGAAGCTTATTCAGCATAAATCACCCAAACAGGGATCCTGCAGGACTCCAGGGTATAAACATCACACCACAGGGCCATTCTTTTCTCCCCACCTGTGAGTTTTACCACGTTCAGTCACGGATCCATTCCAGAGCATATTTCTCACCACAAAAAATCCAGCTTTGTGCACACACAGCACTGGAACAAGGGAGGAACTGTGCTGGCTGCCTGCTCACGAGGTCAAGCTTTTTTTTTTCCAGGCTGTTTCTGCCTGTAAAACACAGATTTAAGCAAAGGGGCTGCTTGGTTCTTGGAAGGTAATTAGCTGAGTGGAAAAACAGGAAATTAGCTTTCCAAGTCCTTACCTACTGTGAATGATCTCAAGGGTTTGTCTTTCTGGCCTTTCTCTAATTTCACTGATCCCCAGGAATTTCTCCACTTGTTCCTCAGCAGGAGAGGTGGTGGGAATAACTCACCCAGGGCCTTTGCCACGTTAACCCCACTGAGGGAGCTTTTCCAGCAGTTGTTCATTCCTGGGCTGTGGTTTGGTGGAATTACTCCCTCGACACCGTCCTTGTTTCAGCAGAGGCTGGAGGGTTTTCCAGGGCAGCAGTGAAATGGCACCTCTGCCCCTTCCTGGACAATTAAAATGACTTGAAGGATTCCTGAGCAAACACAGTAACTTAAAACACACAACACCTGTAGCCACAAACAACACTCAACATGCTGGTGAACATCACCAATCATTTTCCAGTAATGCCTTTTCTCTCATTGCCAATACCAGCAGAAATGGTAGCAAAAAAATCTCCTTTCCAACACGAGACAGAAAGAAATCAATCACTCTAAGATTAAAGACTCACTTAGAGAGTTGTTTGGTAGTGACAGTGTCTGAGTGCAGGAGGCAGAACCCGAGTTCTGCTCCTCGCCCCGAGTCGAGGAAAAACCTTTATCCGTACCCGTGTTCACTGTTCTGTCCAAGAATAACATAAGTGTCTAGGAACTTGCCACTATATTTTTTGTATTAGAGGTGAATAGTACAGATTCTACTATAGTGTTTCTTGTCTGGGGCTCGGGGGGGGTCGGGGTGTTGTTGTAATTTTCGAGCTGTTGCAAAAGCTGCTTTAACTGAGCTGTCGAGTTGTCTTGACTGGTTTGTGCTTTACAAGGGGGCCTCACCTCGTGTCCCGGGGGAGCTGAAGTCACCTGTGAGCCGTGCCCAGGGCACAGGGGTCAGCACAGGGGTCAGCTGGGCTGGCCCTGCCCTGTGCCCAGCTGGAGCCTCTCCCCTCCTGTGTCAGCAGCCGCTTCCTTCGCCCGCCCCGCCGGGAACCCCTGGGTGCAGAACTGTCCTTGTGCAGCCCCCAGGAGATGCCAAACCCCCAAACCCCCGTGTTCCCTGCTCTCTGTACAGAAATCTCGCTGTCCAACCCCAGGGGCAGCACCAAGGGGAGTTGGAGGGTGCTCTGCCCCGAGCCTGGCTCGAGCTGTCGTAGGACACGGATCCCACAGCCAGGGGATCTGCCTTGGGAAAGGGGAATGTGCCCTCCCAGATCCTCCCAGGGAGCTGCCTGGTGCTTGGGGTTTGCAGTTTAAAACATTCTAACCCCTGGTGCTCCCCAGGCTGAAATGTGGAGTGTTAACCCCGGGGTGGTGACGCCTTTTCACCGATTCCTTCTGTTTTCCCCCCGTTTGGGCGCTGAAGGTGGAGGGGGAGGGAGCAAGATTTGGAGGTGAAGCTGGAGATCTTTGCATCCTTTCCACTAAAACCCAGCCCCCGTCCCTGAACCTCCCAGAGCTCCCTGACTGCATCCCTGAGCAGAAAATACACACACAGATAAATGCCTCATGGATTTACTCCTGACATCACGGAATTTGGGACTTGGGAGATGGAGTTGCCTCCTCCCACCTCTTAATCCAATTCATCCCATTTGATACCTGGCTCCAAAACCATTAATTGTGCACCTTCTGTTGATTTGGATGAAGTAAAATTGGACTGGTCAGACTCAAAGCAGTGTTACACACCCCAAGAGCTAACACAACAAAAATTCCCATTTCATTTTCAACTTGGAAAACTTTTGACCAGCCCTTTGGTGAAAAGAGGAGGGGGAACTTCAATCTAATCACACGAAATGTAAATTATTTTTTAAAAAGTGAAAAAAACAACCTCACAAATATTCCTCTAGAGAGACCTATTTTCTCTTCTGCTCCTTTATTTTTGTGATGAGTAGGTTCTGAAAATGTTGGTTCTGGGCTCATGTGACTGAGCATCCTTCCCTCCCCCGGGTCCAGTGTGGTTAGAACTGAAGGAGAGCAGAGGTTTGAACCCTTTCTTTAGTATGAAGCTGAAGGAGCAGGGAGGAGGAGACAGAACGTGAAATCAAAAGCATGGCCTTGGCTTCATACCACACTTTCTGTGCCTTGTTCTATCAATGTAAATTCTGAATGTTGTACAGTAAAATACTTGGGAGAGACTCCTTGGAAAAGGCTGCACTGGCTTCTTTTTTTCAGCACATGTACATATATAAATATATATACATATATATATTTGGTAATGCCAACCAGCTGTGTTATATTGTACTGAGAGAGTGACCCTGGGAGGTTTTGGGTGTTTTCTGGAGGGTCTGCAGAGCTGTGGCCCCTTTTGGAGAGACATGTACAGGTGGGAACTCCTGCATATCAGTTATTTATGAATAAAGAGTCTTTTACTGACCTCTTGGAGCATGTTCTTTCCTGGGGGGAAAAAAGGGGGGGCTGAGCTGGGTTTATGATGGAAAACTCTGTACTGGGAACCTTTTTCCTGAAAAAAAAAAAAAAAGAATTAAAATCTACAGGAATAGGACCAGAAGTGAAGTTTACCCTTTACTGACAACACGGAAACAGGTCAGGAATACCATCCTGCTCTCATGTCAGTCTGGGCTGCAACCAATTCCCTAAAGACTAATTTAAGGCATTTCACTGAATTTATTTATTTATTTGTCTGAACTTAGGGACAACCCAACTCCTGGCCAGGGCACTCACCTTAAGAGGGATATGTAATAAAATGAATCATTAGTCCCTGCAGAGCAGAGGTGCCAGGGCAGGTGTTATAAATCAAGATATCCCTTCAAACACTTCAAGTTGTTCTCACCCAAGATCCCAAACCCCAGATACTGTGATGGGGACCCTTGGTAACAACCAGGACTGTCACATGCCTCTGACATTCATTGCAAAATTATTCCTGATTAATTATGTTTGCAGGGAAATAGCATCTGTTGCTGTGAAGAGTTCACAGCGCTGTGATTTAAGGAACAGCCACTCAGAAATTCTCCTGCCAGGGTGGAAGGGAAGGGTCTGGGCTGGGCTATTTCAGCCCTTCTGAAAACTCAAAAAACCCCACAAAAACCAAGATAACACTTTCAACACAAAGGTAGGACTGAGCCTCACCTGTTGTTGAGAGTATCAGAAATTATTATGTAAAGAGGATTCAATTTTCAAACAGTTCTGAAAGGCTGCATTTAACCAAGTACCACTGACATTTAGGCTTTGAACAGAAAAATGTCACCAGCAATAATTGAACTGACACCCCTTCAATGAGACCTTGATCATGGCACTGGAAAGATGCTGCTCAGCCCCCAAAATTCACACACAGCTGAATTATTGTAGCTCAATGGAATTGCAAAATTACACCAGTCCCTGTGACTTTTAACACCCCCCTGCAGCCTGAAGGATGTTTGTGAAGTAAATATTCAGTAAAACAAGCCCATGGTCCCTGGGTGCCTGGGAGGGGGAGCTGAGCTGCACAAAACACCCCCCTGGGCAGTCTACACGGAATTTGGAAGGAATAAGCATGGAATTTGTGAGGAATAATGGAGCACTGAGCTGCCACTGCTCCCTGAGCAGGTCCCAGCCTGGTTTGGGGACACCAGAGCTCCCCAGGGCCCTGCTGGTGGCACCAGAGGAGTCTGTGTGTCCCCCACAGCTGGGACAGAACTCGTGGCTTGGGCTGGCGACAGAGAAAAGAAGGAGAGGAGAAGATTCTCTCCCTGCCTGTGTTTATTTTTTGTTGTGTTTTAGGGCCATTTGGTTGCTGACTCAAATGCTGTAACCCTTCTGTTGTGACAGGAGGCAACACTGGAGAGAACTCCTGGTTACAAACACCCCAGACTAATTTAAACCAAACTGAATCAATCCCAATCTGCTCCGCTGAGGGAGTTTGGGCTGGTTTTTTGCATTTTTTTCCCTCTTGTGAGATATCATTTGGATTGTATGTATTTTACTCCAGTACTTATCACAGCTTCAAGGCTATTTTCCCTTATTTTGCTTTTTTTCTTTGCTCTTTTTTTCCCCTGCCAGCCTGACTCACTAAATAACAGCATCACAGAGTCAAACCTTAAATCACAGGCAGTGCCTGAAGTCCTGCAGAAAGCTTTGTTAGGAAACCACGCAAATAAATCACCAACTCTTTCAAAATGCCTCCAGAGTTCAAAAACCAGCTTTAAAGCAGGTCCTTTAAAGAGCTCAGTTCCTTATATGAGAAATATTCAGAGAGTTTTGTTTTGAGTCGTCGGTGGGAGCCCAGACTTGGCTGTGCAGGAGGGTTCTCAGCTCCTCATCACACCTGCCAGAGGGTCATTCTGCTGCAGAATTAGGCAGAGGGGCAGCTGAGGAGCAGCCACTGAAATCAGGGTGAGAGTTGAGAAATTCTCGTGGTGGAATAAAGGTAACACCAGCTTGGGGGGGGGGGGCTTAAAAAACCCAGGTACAGGTGGGCACAGCCCTCCCCACACCCCTCCAGGTGAGTCCTGTGCCAAAAACCCCCTGGGCTGTGCAAGATGTCACTATTTCCCTCCCTTTTAGCGGCATAACCAGCTCATTAAATCTTCCCATGAAGGTTATTTTCTTACCAAGTGACAGATCTAAAGATTTACGTCCCCCATCCGTCACCTGCCTTCTCCCTCCTGCTTATCCCTTTGTATTTGTTAATGGCCTTTCCCTTGTTATATAATCCTGTCAGGGGTGTTAAAATACCTCTCAGGACTGTTCATTTGGTCTAAATCATCCAGCCTGCCCCGGTGACAGCAGAGCTGGTGTGGGAAGGAGCCCTGTCCTGTCCTCCAGTAATTGTCACCACATGATAAGAAGGTGTAAGATTTAATAAGGTCATAAAGCAGAATGGCAGGAGCTGGTGTCACAGGTATTTTTTTTTTCATTACTGTCCAGAAAATCTGGATTCAGCGGGACAATAAATCACAGCAATCGAGCAGAAATGACCCGTTTGATTATTCAAAGTCTTTGCAGCCACACAGGGAGAGCAGCAGGGCTGGGAGAGCCTCTGCCACCCCCCCAGCACTCAAAGCACTGCTCCCCGGGCCACCAAACTGCCCCTGCTGAGCTCAACAGGCACAACCAGGCTCCAAAGCAGTGCAAAACCAGCAACTTGTTTAGTTCTGAATGCAATGGAAGGGGTGGAAGCAAATATTCCTGTCAAACTCGGGCACATCCCTGTCCCAGCGCTCAGGGCTGGCTGGGGGCTGCCAGGGGATGGCAAAGTTTCCAGTGCAGATGCCAAAAAATCAACACCAGGGTAAAACAAAACCAATAAAACCAGAAAAATAAAGATGCTCCCCTCCCCTCACAGATATTTTTCTCCTCTAATCTGCCACAGGCCCCCTTTATCTCATCCTCTGGTGTCCTCCAGCTCCGGGCAGCTTCTGAAGCAACAATTCCAACAGCAACAACAGACCTTAAATCCACACTCACATGGAAGAAGCAGCTTTGCCTGCATCCCAGGCCCTTCCAAAAGCACAGATCCATGTCCCCTCCCCAACACACATCCCTGGGGAACACGTGAACCACTGGGGTCACTCCTGGGACATCTCGGGAAAGAATCTGACTTTTTGAAGCTGCTAATTAGCAGCTGAGGTCCTTTGAGAAATGCCATCCTGTTTGTGGGGGACAAACACCTCCAAAAGCAGGACCCTCCATTTCTTTATCCCCATTTCATGTGTATACAGGGATATTTTCCCTCTCATTACCTGGAAACAGGTGGGTTTGCTGCTCGTGCTTGCCCACGGCTAACAATTATTTACTGCTCATTATCACGATCTTCTGTCACATCCAGGGAACTGGGACCGAGCAGGAAACAAGCAACAGAAATCCTGGGCTCCTGCAAACACCCAGAATATTAAAATTGAAGGGAAGAAGAAGCACGTTAAGCTCTGGCTTGATTTACAAACTTTCCGAGGAGCGACAGTTGTTCCTTAAAGGATTTGTTGTGATCAAACTAATTTATAGGGTTGTTACAGTGGTGAAACCTCCGCATTTAACATTTATGGGGAAAGAACTTCACAGTTTTGCTTCGTGGAGATTCAATTAAAATCTGACTCGGGGAAAGCTGCTGCGATTTTCCTCCTCGCATTTCGTCCCTCACTAATCACTTTTCTTTTTAATACTCCCTGCCTGGTGATACAGTGGGAGAAGCCCTTTGCAAACAGCAGCCTCATTAAAGCCCCACACTACAGTTCACAGGGATTACAGACAGGCACCAAAAATGAAGGGATGCTGCCCTTTTGTCCCAGTTAGAGCAGCTGGGACCAGTTCATCACTGGATGGGTGTAACCCAAAACTGTGGATTCCAGAGCCTTCCAGGCCATTGCCCACAAACTGTTCTCAACAGACCATTGACACCCTCTGCCCAGAGCAGCCCTGAGCCCTCAGGCTGGAAACTGGGTGTTCAGAGGCCTGGGAGATAGGAGGGTGCTCCTGTCCTCACCCCCAGGGTGGAACTCCCCGCCCTGAGGGAGGGACTGGGCATTCCTGCCTCAACTGGAGGAGAGACAATCTTGGGGGCTTGGGACTTTTTTAACCACTCGTGGGATCCAGAGAAGGACTGAGACCACCACTCTCAACCAGACTGAGACCATCACTCTTGCCCAGACTGCACCAGCCTCTCACCAACAGGTTTTTCCCTCTCCTTTTCCTTTGGACTCAGGGGGCCCAACAAACCCCACTCTGTTCCTGCCCCAGGGTGCTGGGTTATACATTTGGGGTTTGTGGGTTACAACCAACTGTTTGCCTGTATAATCATATTTATTGTATTATTTTATTAAATTGTTATTCTGATTTATAATCTCTCCTTTGAGTTGGGTTCATTTCCCCTGCTGGTTTACCTTTAAACCAGCACACCTTTAAAAAGTGCATCTCCCCCCTCCAGTACTCTGGAAGAACAAGTTCCCTGCTGCCTGTAATTTCTCTAAACAGGTGAAGAATCCATTATAAAATATCCCAGCCAGCCCGTGCTCATTGTAATCCCCTGTACCTGGTGCCATTAGCCATGCACGGGGGTAATGAGGCAGGCAAAGGTTATTCCCGGGGCCAGGCTGGAATGATGAGGGGCTGCCAGAGCAGGAGACTCACCCCGGGCTATCTGAAATTGAAATTTTGGGCTTAAATTAATAACTCGACATGAGCCCAGACAGTAATGCTGCCTGTCCCCTGCAGGGCTGAAAATGTCTTTTGACATTAATAAAAAAAGAAAAAAAAAAAAGGAGGGGGTGTTAACCTGGGCAGACAAGAGAGAGAAGCAATGCACTGGGCTCTGCTGATGCCACGGGAATGTGGGAGGTGGGAAACACATGGAAAAAGGCCCTTCCTTGACTACCTGACAGGCCAAGTGAATACCCAGTGAAGGGTAATAAATCCCTCCACCCTTCCTGACACCTGAAGGATTTGTTTTTATCACCAACAAGGGAAATTGCCTCGTTGTCTTCATTATTGTAACAGCACCAGGAACGTTCTGAGGTGTTTTACAGAGCAGTTTAAAAAAAAAAACAAACCAAGCCTTGCTCCCAGAGCTGAAGGCTTTAGTCTCTGGAACTCAGTGGATGAAAAACACGGGTTTTTAAATTGAGAGGAGATTTTAAAGCTATTAACTGTATTTGTCTTCCTTTTTTACAAGGCAAAATGCATTTAATGCCAGGCTGCACAGCCTGAGTGACTGTGGGCTGGGACAGGAAGAATTGCTGGTCTGTCCCACTGTGCACATTTACACAGCTGGACACATCTGCAGGAGCCACATGAAGAATATTCACAGGAACTGGGACTCAAAATAAGTTATTCCTATTCCCAGTTCAGTTGCAGAAATTATGAGTGACTTGAGCGAGTTTCTGCCAAAAGAAGGAACATTTTCCTCCATCACAGAAATTTAACAAGCCAAGGCAGTTATTTTACCTCACATCAACTGAATGCACACCCCTCCTCCCCTGCAGAGCTTCAATTAGGGTAAATGCATTTATTCCTTCAGAACTTTTCTGCTCATCACCCATCAAGCTGAAGAAAAAGACCAAAAGAATGGTTTTTATTCCCTTCCCTGAAGTGTTGTGTTCATGAGCCTGGAGTGGGAAGGGCCTCGTGCAAGGCACAGTCCCATGGGATCAGAGCTCCAGAAACACCCAGGGAAGGGGATGGACACATCTCCTCCCACTCCCACCCCGTGCTCCTCCTTTAATTCCTCACACTGTGGGTTGTGAAACCTGGTCCTATTGTCACACTGAACTCTGCCTTGTCAGGACAGCTTTGTCACTCATAAATATTGCAATGAGAACCAAAGGCTGCTCATGAAAGATTGATTCCTGGCAGTTCACTGACCCTTCCTTCGAGGCCTTTTATTCAAATTAGAGTAAACCCATCCTAGAAATCCCAGCATTAATTGTTAATATTACAGGCTGCTGAAACACAGAGTCCTCGAGGAGCAGAGATCCAGGGCTGGCTTAAAGTGATACATCCCAGCACAAATTAAAGGCAGTCAACAGAGCTGGAACACCTTAATTCTCACACTCAGAACCAAAATGAGGCCTTTAATGGACCTTCCATTAATGTCATTAGTGTCCACATTATTCAGATGGTTGGGTGGGACATAAAAGTTCATCCAGTGAACAGTATTAATTTAATAGTATGTTACATACAAAGAAAAGTATTTCAATATACAACCAAGTCCTGGAAAAGCTCAGCCACTCAGTCAGATGCTGCCTGCTTGCTTCCCCTCCAGACACACACCAAATAACTCCTCTGAGGTGCTCACTGGCCTGACTCCTTTTGGAGGAGGTGAAAAAGCAGCAGAGCTTTAGAAACCAGGGTGCTCAGGAGTTAAAGGGGGTATCTCTGTCAGAGCTTAATCTCCAAGGAACTCCAGGGGTTTATAACCAGGAAAGCTCAGTCCAGATAAGGAAATAATGAGCAGATCATTTTTCTCTGGCTTGGAGCAATCTCAAGAAGGAATATCCCACTGGGGCTGAGCTGATCCCAGGGGAGGGCTGGCAGAGAGCTCTGATGTGAAGAGCCCTGGCACAGGCAGCAGAGGGGACAGATTATTACCTTTCTTCTGCTTGGTTTGGTGAAAACACTTCACTCCCTGCTGTGTGACCAGCCCAGCCCCAGGAACCTGAGCCACTGAGCCCCACAACCTCTTGTACAAACACCACCCTGGGCCTGAATCTGCCAGGACCTTTGGCACTGTAAAGCACCTGATGGGTGCCAGGAAAATCAAACAGGATGCCCTCAAACAGCTCTGAAGACAGGGAGCAACTGCTCAGCAGATGTCACAGCCTCCCAGCCTCACTCTCTGCTGTGTCACCCTCTGGGACTTCAGTGGGTAGCATTTAAATGTTCTGTTTCAATTAATTCATTCAGCAGTTCTTAAAATCACTGCCCCCACCCCGACAGGCAGGAATGTGGCTGGAAGGACCTGGCTTTTAGCTCAAGTCCACGGGCTACATCTTGAGTGGTGGGGAATAAGAACACTGTGATAGACTTTTAATCTGTCACTGAGAAGGTCACAGGGGGGAGAACCCTCAAGGACAGTCAAGGAGTGGGAATGGCAGAGAAATCCAGAATATCTGACGTGGCACGGGCTAAACTCCTGATCCTGGGGGGGATGGACTCGGGCTGGGTTAGAGAAAAGGCCACAAGCCCACGACTGCCTGAGCCTTGTTGCAGCAGCTGCCAGTGGAATGGGCAGATCTGGGCAAAGAAAAATGCACTGGGACCCTCTGCCCACAAATTAATTCAACCTTGAGTCACCCAGGTCAAACACATCAGCAACTGGACAAGGTTTGAGCTGGTGACCAAGAGGCAAAACAATCCCCCCAAACCATCCCTCTGCTCTGGGTTCCTGCACGTTGCCCACTGAGGAGCCTGTTCCACACCCCACAAGGAAAAGCAACACAAAACACTTCGAGGGATTATATTTTTTTTTCCCTTTCCCGCAGCAACAAGTGGTTGAACACCCATTTAAATATTCAGCAGTGCCAGTGTTGTGCCGTTTAGTCTCCTCACGTTGGCACTCCCTGCAAACACTGGCTCAGTTCACCTCAGATTTCCCAGCAGAAATAACACGAGTCTGGTGTGAACTGAACATTTGTGATAAGCAAACTTCCTCCTGCTGCTCAGGAGCTGAAACCTGAGCCCAGGCAGAACACACAGCTCCCTTTTCCAAACGGCTGCTGCTCCCAGGCCCCTGCAGGGACCAGAAGCCTCATGGCTGAGCACCTGCTCTCCCAAATTCTGCCCCTTCCAGCTGCTCAGGAACACCCTGAGAACACCCACTGCTGGGCTGAGGTGTGGGGCACAGGGCAGAAGAGTGATTTAACTCCTCCCAGTGCCAAGGAATGGAGAAAATCTCTGTGCGCAGAGGAAGACACGGGGCTCTTGTCCACACACAAGCACAGGAAAGCACCACTGCTGCTCCTGGAAACATTTCCCACTCGTTTCTCCCCAGCAGGGACTGTTGTTGCTGCATCAGACCCGGAGGGGATGCGGGGGAAGTGGAGAGGAGACGAGCGAGGAGTTGCCAAGAAGACATAATAAATTCACTTTTCTGACACAGGACCAAGCTTGCCATTAAATGTCAAGTGCTGGATTAACAGCTGGAGGGGAACAAATCTCTGCTTCAACCTCTGGGCTCTGAGCAATAGATAGCAAAAATCCTCCCCCAGAAAGGCTCCCTCTAAATGGCAAACTGCTCCTGCTCGGGTTTCGGGCTGGAGCTGACAGGGGACTCACAGCTAATCACAGGCTGCTGTTCCCCACAGCACCTCTGCTAACAGAGCTGGAAACAATCACTTTGCATCCTGACAGGTACCAGCCAAAGTGATGCAGCGTGTCGGCGGCACCAGAACAGGGAATGAGACAGAGCTGAGCTCAGGCAGCACACCAGGCACGAAGGATCCACATTTAAACCTTGCCCCAGCCAGCCCCAGACTTTAAATTGAGAAAGGAAAATTAAGATGAGCAAATTCACAGCTGGTTGGGCCAACCAAAGGGCCAGAGGAGGCGGCACCTGGGAGTGAACACCCTGAGGGTCTCCCCCTGTAATTCAGAGATGCCACCTTCCCCTCTGCCCCAAAATTTAGGGGAAAGTTTTGCCTGCTGCCCTGCAGAGGCTCAGCTGGGTCCCTTCTGCCCTTGTGCCTTCCCTGCCCTTGTGTTTTCCCCTCCAGGTGAGGCAGTGAACAGTTCAGAGACACGTCCAGCTCTGCAGAGCCTCCCCCGTGGACAGTCCAGCCCGAGGTGATGCTGCTCAGCACAGATAAAATGCCACCAAAATTAACAGGGACTTTCTTCCTTCCTTCCTTAATTTTTATATTTTTTTTCCCCCCATCAAGGAAGCCCATTGAAATTCAGCATCCATCCCAGTGAAGCACTCTGGTGCTGGGTGACCTTTGGGTGACATTTGCTTTGCATCTGTGCACCAGGAGAGACCAAGGCAGCCTTTAACGAGTCCATAACCCAGCCCTGGCCCTGGCAGGGAATGGGAACAACTGCTGGGATGGGTGGAATTCTCAGGGCACTGGAAGGCTCCTTAAATCAAAGCCCTGAACAGAGAAGTGAGGGGCAGAACCACAAATTTACTGATCATTTGTTTCTGCATGAGCATAATTCCAGCCTGAGAGAGTCCCTGCATTATGGTGTCATTGGCACCAAATAAAAGTAAGAATTGTTTAGAACACTTGACAAAAACCAGAGTTACCTTGTAGGCTACCAGCTTTGTATATTTAATGTATTTAACCTATTTTTATTCTACTTCCAAACCAGTCTTAGTTCCAACAAGTGATTCCTCCTGCTTAAAATGGGAAGTGAAAGACAAGAGAGAGGTGGAGCAAACCCCAGTACAGCCATGAAACAGTAGAGACAACAAAAATAATCCAGTTTCCAAAACTTTTATAAATCATCAATGGGTTGCTATTTGGACAAGTTCTGCCGGATTCTTGACTTTTAAAAAAAAATAAAATAAAGATAATGAGAAAATTAAGCCTTTATAGCAAGCTCTCACAGCCTGGGTTTTCAAAACACTTCTGTAAATAGAATTATCTGCTTCAGAGACATTAAACCCACCAGTGGAATCTCTTACATTACCACATGGTGAACATCTGACCTCCAACACTGGGAAATAATGAAAAATTAATGGATCCAGATGTGCCAATCCTGGCA